CACCCGCGTCATTATTCCCACGCCGGACGGTATGAAGTTAGGGTGCGGGCCCCGCCTGCTTGAAGGGGAAATACTGATGTTTGCTTTTACTGGCATGGACGAGGAACAGCGTAGTCAGAAAGTGCAGTATCATCGAACGGCGGGCCCGAGACAACGCGTCCGGATCCTTCAGGAGGAAAGAGAGACACGGATGCAGGTATTCAACACCTGCAGGATGAAGAGACATTTATCAGCTCTTACAGCATAGTATCTTTTGTGCCGTGGCTTTTCGTGGCGTTCACCACGGCGTAATTTCATAGACGTTCTCTTGCGGGTGGTTTCCTTCCCCACCCACAGTTAGCTATTCTGTTCCTGTTTTGGTTGAGACCCCGATCAGCATTCAAATCTCGGCAAACTCTCCACAATCTCCATCGTCTTCATACTGACCGTGATCACGCTCAGGAGCAGATCAAGGATATACCACAGGTTGCCATGCTCATCAGCCCACGCGTTCGGATCGTTCACAATACCGCTGGCATCATCGCAGGTGACCGCATAGCGTTCCAGAATCCATTCGATCGCACTCTTGCCGTTCACAACATACTCATAGGCTTTGGCAGGAATGCCAGAGATAGTGATAGAGGCATTGTACTGAATCCGACTCTTATCACCTTTTGTGACGAATTTCATCTTCTGCACCTGGAAGTTCCCGGATTCAGCGCCCGCGACCTCAACATCGGAGTACTGGGCGGCATCTTCATAATGCAGATGCAGCTCTGCCAGCTCCCGACCGCAACGGCTGAATGCAAGGAAGTCTTCTTTCTTTGCGACCAGCGGGATTCTGGCAAGAATCTTCTTCAGATCTGCGGAGAAATGTCCGGAATAACGTCAGTAATGAGAGGTGTGAATTCTTTCGGAACTCCAATGCCGGAGATACAAATAACCCGGTTCGGTGTATTCGGGGTGGGGAAGAGCTGCGGGATTTGATATACCCTCTCATTCATCTCTCTGTTGAAATAGACAAACTACAGAGCCGTTCTGACCGATTCTTCCGAGAACGAGTATTTCTTCTGTCGATTTATATCTGCCTGGCCCTTATCTGCCCAGCTGAATTTCGTGGAATCACGGGTGACGAAATCCTCTGCTTTGAGGTTGGGACTACTGATAGAAGAACGCCGTCATCCCTGACAATCTGCTTGGACAACGCGTTATAACAGCCGACGAGTTTGACGGCATCATCAGCAGTCAGCTGCGAATCCCATGAATTGACAAGCTGACGAACGTACTCATAGCTTAGGAAGGTATGAGATATATCAATGCTGGCAGCAGAGTATTCTTTGCGTCGTGTTTTGACACCATCTTCACGGCGCTGAGACATACGAACACATCGTCAGTGGGGTGTTTTTCCCCACTGGCCGTAATATTGCTGTTTTTTGTTGCTATTCTCCACAATTTTGCACGAGTTTCACCCTGTAACGGGGTCTGTGTTTGCAGCTGGTGATGATGTCCTTCTCAAAATTCAATCTCTCATTTCCTGCTGTATTTTCCACGTTTTCTTTTCTCCATGGTTTTTATAGTATGAGTTGCAAAGAATAGCAACAAGGCTTTTTTGAAAAAGAGAAAATCATCATGATTTGAGCTTTTTCCGGTTTGCGTTTTTCTGGGGCTATTTCCGTTTTCAAAACAGACCCCGTTACGGAGACCCCGTTACTGAGGTATGCAGGCTTCTTTTGCCGATTGCGGTCGTTTTTGATCCCAAAAAAGAGGGATTGAGTTCTGGCCCTGCTGCTTGGTAGGGGCGATCGTGGTTCTGGAGGGGCCGGCGTGCGGCTCTGATGTGTGGTATACATCACATCGTGAGGCTGCGATGTGGTCGGTTACCAGCTCCGCCCGCCTGTCATCAGCTGGTAGCTGATCGCTACGGTCAAAAATCAGCAGCCGGAAAGATAGCCGCCGCTCCGAAGACAGTCTTCCGGCGGTCAAAAGAGGGTATCAGGCCGTCACGGGTCGGATGTGAACAACTGCCTCATGAATTCCCGGTATCTCCTCAATCCCTCGTTATTGCCCTTCGTATCATGGTTCTGGGGGGCGGTCTGCGGTTCGGTGGTGTGTACATTCGCATCCTCATCCCACAATTCCCAGCCGATGAACACGCTTCTCATCACGCGGCCGGCAATGCGGGCCTGCTTCTTACAGCACTCATAACCGGCGGCAATTTCGTTATAGAACCGGTTGACTAACAGGCTGTTCCGTGCCATGAAATCTTCTAACTTCCCGGTGATTTCAATCCCCACCGCGCGCGTCCAATTCAAGAACAGGTATTTGCCGGCCGTCCGGCGGTTCCGGTTCCGAACCATATGGGTCTTCATGAACGCGCGTGTTGTCAGCTCCGGCGCGGCCCTTGCCTTCTCAAGCGCGGCGGCTGCGTATTCACCGGCGTTCTGGATGTTCTGAGATTTTGCATACCGGATGAGATGAATCAGAACCTCCTCTTCATCAACCGGCTTCTTCCCACAATACCACGCGTTCCGTGCGGTGTTAAAAGAGTATTTCGCTTCTTTTAGGGTTTTTACCGGTTGCATTGTAGACATTGCTTTTCTCCACAGAAGAAGCGACGCCTTTTTACATCCGGTTAACCTAAATTATATTGAACATGGGGTTGCCGTAAAGGCGACCTTCTTCATTACTGTTCTTCTTGTCCTTCTCAGTAAATAATCCCTGCTGTTTTGTCGTCGGTCCCTCCCATAATCTCATGCATGCGGTCAGATAGTTAGCATAGCAGGGCCTGAGGGGCTCTGCGGAAAGAAGATGATGCATGAAACCGGAAAACACAGTATGGACAATGAAGATTCCTACGCTCTCCTTTGCGCGGCCTGTTGTTGCGTGTTTAGCGCTGCCGTTGTGTATTGCGCGTGGTGGGCAATGTGCCCGGATGAGTATCCACCGGTTGCCCTCTGCGTGGTTCCGCTTGCGGCCGCATTGATGGGGTATCTCACGATGCTACGGCGCGGGGCGCGTCCGTAGTTCCGGATTGTCCGCAACCCGGAACGACTTGCTGATTTTGATGATACGGGGCCGTTGCGGTTCTGCGGCAGCTTTTCGGGATTTTTCCACAAACTCGGCTAATCTAAGCAGTTTCGCATCTTCACGGATTGCGGTAATTGCTACGGCGGGGGCTCCTAAGTATTCATCACAGGCGCGCTCTGCCAATGCCTCTAAACGGCCGTGATATTTTTCCAAAATCTCCTAATACTCTGCGGCTTGATATTCGGCTATCTGCCGCGTCGCTTTCCGGAGTGTGTGGTTAACCGTCAAAAGGGTTCTGCCGGTCTCCTCGGCAATTTCCCGCTGCGTGCGGCCTTCCGTTGCCATTTCAATCATTCCGGCTGCCTCCTCAGTAGTTACGTGCCTCATTGTTGCACATTTGTTTCATACGCCGATAGTGATAGCTGTAAACGCCAATACTGACAGCATCGAGGATTAAACCAAATTCAAGAGAATAATGTTTACTTACCCCCATTGAGCATGAAGAACTCCCTGTTGATACCTCCTTATTTGAGCTTTTTCCGGTTTGCGGTTTTCTGGGGTTGTACGCGGAACTGAAGAGTGAAACACAGCAGCTGACCAGTCATGATAAGCTGCTTGTGGGACTGATGGAGGATAAAGGTGATTAAGGAAACGTTTGATTCTCTGGTTCGGTATTTGGAGTCGGGAAAATAATTAGGATAATTTGTTATTTTTCCAGAAGAATGGTTTTACAGGGGATCTTTTATATTTTTCAAGATAAGATTTATATAATTCAGGATATTTTGCTTCGTTGAGGGGAAGACAATACATTGTTATTGGGGATGTTGGAGATCCGCCAACGCCTATGACGATGAATACGGGAATATTTTTTTCTTTTTGAAATTGTTGATATCTTTTCATTTGTTCTGGATATGACCATTTGATGACATAGGCATTTCGTTCTTTCGAGAAGTAGAAGTCGGCACGATATTTACATTCAACTGCGAAGTATTCTTTACCGTTGTAGCACATTGTGAGGTCTGGATTTTGATCTGAGTTTACTTTAATACCTATTGCTTTTCTGTTAATATCACGTGTCCAGTCTTCGACTGTGAAGTATTCTTTATCGGGTTTATTGTTTAATCTAAATAAATTTATGACATATCTTTCAAAATTAGTCCCTTTTTGTTCGTTTTTTATGGCTTCATCCCCGAATATTGAATCTATCTTACTTACCATCTCCTCTATTGCATTGGCAATCCGTTCGGTGTTTTGTGCGATGTCGCCCAGCCGCCAAAACACACCAAATGCCATTAGAATGCAAACTGCTGTTAACAGACTAATACCCCGCGTGAAGATTGCAGAAAGCATCGCAAAAACAATAACTAATACCTCTACTACAATCCTTGACCAATGCGAGGACATCCAATAATGACTTATACCCATGTTTCAATCTCTTTATCTTTTTCTTCCGTTTTTATATTCTATGTGGTTACCTACCTCAGTCAATGAACAGCCCAATACTCATTTTCATACGTTTTACCCACAAGGTCAATACCGATATCCTGACCACTCCCAAATTCATAACGATACGGAAACTCACTCCACAGCCAGACTTTCTCAAACTTACCGTCATAAAGCTGATAAGTCCACAAAAAAGACTGCATCAAAAGGCAGAGGAACGATACTTCTCCATGACGGTTTGGAAACTCATACTCATAGCTTAGGAATGTATGAGATATATCAATGCTGGCAACAGAGTATTCTTTGCGTCGTGGTTTGACACCATCTTCACGGCGCGGAGTCATACGAACACATCGGCAGTGGGGTGTTTTTCCCCCACTGTATCCTTCAGTCGTCGGTGATGATGCAGGCATATTACTGTTTGTTTCATGCAATGCATACAGGGCCGCATAAGCGCGGTTTGTATGATTTGTGCCGGCGGCGGTATGATTTGGTATGATATTCCCTGCGGCCCCTGCTGGGTTCCGGCTCGGTAAAAAAAGAGGATTACATCAGTCAATAAAACGCGGGTCTAATGGAACTTCTATATCAATCTCCTTTGCATGTACGGCTTTTACGGCGTTTTGGTATTCGGGTTTCTCAAATTCACAACGGAGATACTGGGTATTGCGCTTTGTCTCTTCAATCCGCTGCTGCCGGGCTTTCTCCGGATCAAAGTTCTTCATTGCCTTCTGTTCCTCTTCTCGGTCGTCGTCGATATAACGCGGGTTCATGGGCCGGACGGCCGTCACGAGATTTAAACCGGGCTTCCGGTCTTCATCAAGTTCTTCCCAAACGTAGAAATTCACATCAAAGGAGGTGTTTAATTCAACACAGAAAAAAGAACACAACAGCCCATGATGCCGGAAAATGTAGGTTCCGTTCGGGTTTACCGGTTCGTAATTGTCTGGATAGGGATTCTCCCAGTCCTCATCAAACAGTTTCGCCCCGTATACATCCTCCCATTGCAAATGTCCATACCCGAATGATATGGGTATCTCATCCTGAATGGGTGCGGCCCCTTTCCACACCTGATCCCGGAAATAATCATACTTGATATTGTAGAGGTGCCGGGCGCTCTTGATTAGAGTGCCGTCGTTCTGATATGCATTAATCCGGATTTCCTGCGTCTCGTCTGTGTCGTCACGGGTGACCTGAATATACCCGTTCTCTACGCCGATTCGTTGGTAATGATGTTTGTCAGTCATGTGTTTTTCCATATCCAGCAATGTAGCCGCTCGTATGCGTTTCTACCGTAATGCATGTGATCATAATGCCCGTCCGTTTTCTGATGGTTGTGATGGGCCTTTTCGGCTTTTAAACTTCCCACTCTCCCCGAGCCCCCGTTTTTGAACAGGGTTATGACTTTTTTGGCTAAATCCTTGTCCAATGTCATGATATCCTTACCCTCCTCCATTTTCTTCACGGCCTGTTCTTCGGTTAACCGGTCAAGGTTAACCTCAACCTTACCATGATTCTCACGAGCTTCAAAATACCACTTATCATCTTTACCTTTTGGTGATCCTAAGGTGGTATAATGCTCGTATACTGCGTCAATTGCCGCTATGCCCTTGTGATTCGCTGTTTTTACCCACTGTAGGGCAAATACCTTGTCGAGCTCGTTTTGCATGTCTAATAAGAAATTATTCCAATTCTCAGCAACCCCATCCCATGTTATTCCAAGTGTTTTACCGATTTCAACAGCAGCCGCGCCGCTGATCACAGCGGCGAGCCCAGAAATGATGATTTCACAAACTTCTGGCGCTATGGGTGCCAAAAGCAAAACCGCCCCTCCTACCGGAGGTTCTTCCATTTCGCTCGGTGCGGCATTGACAACAGGACAAAAAAGAGAGGTTATGATGAGAATTGACATCACGGCCGGCAAAAGTCTTGTTTTCATAATTGTTTCACCTCAGTTACGGGCGCGGCCCTTCCTCTCCGTCCCAATTGGAGAACGGTATTTCTCCAGCTGGATCGTATGTGGTGAGCTGGGGGGGTTCCGGCTGTTCGTCTGAGTGATCCGGTCCGGATAGTCATCATCACATGCGCGGCTGGTGTTTTCGGGTTGCGGTTCGGAAAAAGAGCTCTCGCTCTCCCGTCTTGATTTTTGGGTAATGTCGTCGTTGATTGACATATACGGAAATATTGGTAACCTGCGTATATATCATTGCGTTCCGGCGGGGTTTGTCGTCGTTGATTATTATCCCCGCCGGTTCGCACGTCTCGGGTCGGTGGGTTGTTCGCATCCCGTCGGTTCTGTTCCTGCGGGGGCTGTGATGGGGATCGCTGCCTCCGCTCTGGATTTTGTGGCATATGCCAAAACACACCGGCAAAACATGAGCTCCGGCTGCGGCGCGGTGGTCTCCTCCTTCTCCTTCACACGCGGCAAACGCTTTTTTTCAAAAAATACGGCAAATTCTTAACTTTCCAACTTTCCTACCATCTCCTCCCCCCTCTTTTTTTGGCTCCTGCCGTGTTAACGTGTGTCATGGTAGGGGAGGTAGGGCCTGCCGGTGGTGAGGTGTGGGGGAAAACAGATCATGGAAAAGTTGGAAAGTTAAAATCAAAAACGCATGCGGTGCCTTTGTTTGGTTATTTCCACCAAAAAAGAAAGTTAAGGAAAGTTAGGGAAGTTAGGAAAGTCCCTCTGGCTCTGGTGTGGCCTGTGGTATCCTGAGTTTGAAACCGCCGTTCGGCGATCTTCTTTTGCCGCTGTCGTTGCATATCTCGATCCGGCCCTCAAATCTCAGTTCGGCTATATGTGTGGATGCGGGGGAAAAATATCATTCTCACCACGCCCACTGCGTCGGGCAAAACCCTTGCATACACCCTGCCAGTTGGAAAGACGCAACCGCACTGTTCATTTACCCGACCAAAGCCCTGACCCGCGATCAGCTTGCCGTTCTGTAAAAGCTTGACAAAGATCTCAGCACAAAAACCCGCCCCGCAATCTACGACGGCGACACTCCCCGCGACGCCAGATCAAAAATCCGCAGTAGCTCCCGTATTATCCTCACCAATATGTACGAACTGCACCAGATTCTTGCATGGAGAATGCAATGGGGAGATTTCTGGGCAAACCTCTCCTTCGTCATCATCGATGAGGCGCACCGGCACCGGGGAATCTTCGGTTCGCACATTGCGCTTTTGCTGCGGCGTATCTGCAGTTATTACGACGACCGCCTGCAGTTTATCCTCTCCTCCGCCACTATTGGTGATGCTTCTTTGTTTGCCAAGACCCTTAACGGTGTTGCGGCAGTTGAGATAGCAGATGACAGCTCTCCCTGGGCACAACAAACGTTCCGGCTGTACAACCCGTGGAGTTCGGGCAAAAGCATCCTTTCCGCCACCGCAGATCTCATCCGCGATCAGGTACAGAGCGGTATGCAGACGCTCTGCTTCACCAAATCCCGCAACATGGCAGAGATCACCGCACTCCGCGAAAGATCACGGACAACTACCACACCCGCCCGCTCTCCGTCACCGACGTTCGCATTCTTCCTCGATTGTCATCATCACGCGGTCAAAACAGCGCTCCTCAGCCGGAGGCATGCCGGCGTTGTAAATTGCATCCATGAGGGCCCGGGCGTTCATAGGATTCTTCACAACACTGGGCGAATCTTTATTAACTCTCGCAACATAGTAGTTCATTACGTCGTGAGTCTTTGACCTCCGCACGGCGCCTCAGTTTCATCACACAGACACTCATACATCACACCATTATACTTTTTTTCACAGATATCTCCTGGATAGGAACTTCATTGGCCTGTGCTTCCCTTCCCCACGCATACCCTTCGGGGAGCACCACGAAAACAATTCTCCAACGCCCAATCTACAAGAGACACATCTGATGAAACCCATGACCGGCCAGCAGTATCCACGACTTCAGCACTACGCCGATAGTGATAGGTGTAAACGCAAATACTGACTGCATCGAGGATTAAACCAAATTCAAGAGAATAATGTTTACTGGCCCCCATTGAGCATGAAGAACTCCCTGTTGATACATCCTTATCTGTTTTTAGAATATAGTATTCTTTGCGTCGGGTTTTCGTGTTAATAATTCCACCCGATGGTGATGGTTTTGGTTTTTCAGCTGCTGATGTGCCTGCCGTCAAAACTGCGACGAATGCAAGAAGTAGAAATACTATCAACGCAGATATGATTCTCCTGTTCATTGCTTACACCTCGGTTTAGTTGAGGGGATTATCCCCTCTTCATCATAATCAGGTTCTTAGTAAGTCGCGTCGTGGCTGACACACACGCACGGCGCTAAATGACTTATTCGGCGGGGGTGCCTCCACACTCCCGCCGGTTGGTAAAATAGGTGATTTTTGAGGTATGATTCTGCACAATTGCACCGGCGTCGTACAGCGGGATACAGGAGCTGAGCTCCGGTTTGATTCCCCTGTGGATATCTCAATAACCTCGTTAGGGAGTAGGTTTATGCGAGTGAATTTACCAGCAGCTGACGGCATCACCCGCGTCATTATTCCCACGCCGGACGGTATGAAGTTAGGGTGCGGGCCCCGCCTGCTTGAAGGGGAAATACTGATGTTTGCTTTTACTGGCATGGACGAGGAACAGCGTAGTCAGAAAGTGCAGTATCATCGAACGGCGGGCCCGAGACAACGCGTCCGGATCCTTCAGGAGGAAAGAGAGACACGGATGCAGGTATTCAACACCTGCAGGATGAAGAGACATTTATCAGCTCTTACAGCATAGTATCTTTTGTGCCGTGGCTTTTCGTGGCGTTCACCACGGCGTAATTTCATAGACGTTCTCTTGCGGGTGGTTTCCTTCCCCACCCACAGTTAGCTATTCTGTTCCTGTTT